TTTTTAAGTTGGGATACTCGTTCAAACAATACTTCCAAACCAAGCCACTCAGTTGATGCTCACACTGCTGAAGTGAACTGCCTCTCTTTCAATCCTTATAGTGAGTTCATTCTTGCCACAGGATCAGCTGACAAGGTCAGTTTGGTTTATTTTAATAGAAAACATGGGGTAGATTTCTCCTGGTTCTTTTGAATTGCAGAGATATTTTAGTTAAGGGTTTTCTTTTTCTTTTCTTGTAAAAAAAAAAAATTGATTGCTCTTGTTTCCCTTTTTTTTATTGTATGTAGACTGTGGCCTTGTGGGATCTAAGAAATCTGAAGCTTAAGTTGCATTCCTTTGAATCACATAAGGATGAAATATTCCAGGTAAGAAACTAATGCTACTAATTTGGGGGGCGGGGGAGAAGTCTGAATGTGTGAGTGGATACACGTGTTCTTTATCCCATTGCTCAAAATAGAAGTTTTCTATATATCTGTGCTAATTTCTGTGGGATTGGGATTGTTTTTCGTTTGTTGTTTTCTATGCTTTCTCAAACTGGTCATTGGCCACATACATTTTTCAGGTATTAAGTAATATAGTGGGCCAGGCATGCTGGCTCATGCCTGTAATCCCAGCACTTTGGGAGGCTGAGAGGGGAGGATCACTTGAGGCCAGGAGTTTGAAACCAGCCCAGGCAACATAGCAAGACCCGGTCTCTACAAAAGGAAAAAAAGAAATCCCGGTGCCTGATTATTTTATCAGCCTTGCTCCCGTCACTCATTTGTTTCTTCCCTTATTTCCAGTCATTCATCCTTTATTGCTTGCCACATCTATTGATTCCTTGTTAGTCCAACCAGAACTACAGGCTCCGTGTGTTCTGCCTCATTAGTTTAAACTTCCTTCTTAACACACAAAACCCTCTGACTCAATTGAAAAATAATTGTCACACTGTTCCAAGCTCATTACTAGGGCACCATGAGAGATACATTATAGTCTTTGTTGTCAAAGAACTTAAAGTTTTATAGTGTAAAAAGGCCTAGTTAGAAGTTATTATAATAAAAGATTTTTGCAAGTGTTATGAACCTGAGAGTGGTAAAGATTAATTCTGGTGGGTGAATATGGTATCTGAACTGGGCTTTAGGTGAACTATACTCCTCCACACATGGTCTCATTTTCTGCTTTTCAGCCGGCTCCAGTGAACATTTTGTCTTCACCCTGTCCTGTCTCTTTGTCTTTGCTTGTGATAGTGTTCCTGTGTGGAGAGTATTTAAATTCTTCCCTAACTGCGGGTCCCTTAAGCTCTCTTCTCTGTACCATGAGGCTAGCACTTTATTACCATGTTTGATAACACTATATATGATTATTGCATATATAGTAGTTTTTGTCTAGCTCTTTAATAAGATTATTGTTTTAAGGAGTCATTTTTAATTAGTCTTATGGGTGATACAGAATTCAAAGTAAATACTTAGGAAAATAGTTATCGTGTGGGGGTCATCTGTACTGTAGTTCTTAGGTCAGAATTGGATTACGTTTGGCTAGAGGCCAGAATTAGACGATAAGAATAGGTAAGATGTAGTCTTCAAAAAAATAAGATGAAGCCATGTGCGGTAGCATCTGACTGTAATCCCAGCTACTCGGCAGGCTGAGGTGCAAAGATCCTTAATCCCAGGGATTCGATACAGCCTGGGCAATATACTGAGACTCACTCGTTTTCTCTCTCTCTCTCTCTCTCTCTCTCTCTCTCTCTCTCTCTCTCTCATACACACACATTCATTCTCTCTCTCTCTCTTTCTCTCTCTCTCATGAAATTGTTAGATATAATTTTAGGTATTATTTCCCTTTGTTTTCTAATTTAATACCTTTTGTTTCCTTCGTTCTTATGTGTAGGTTCAGTGGTCACCTCACAATGAGACTATTTTGGCTTCTAGTGGTACTGATCGCAGACTGAATGTCTGGGATTTAAGGTAACTCTTTTATTAGTTACTCTCTCCAAGGAATTTTTTCCCTTGACTTTGTAAAGTTAGTTCCTACGGATAAATCTCTTTTAACTTTTAAAATGATCTTTCTATGCTAGTAAAATTGGAGAGGAACAATCCCCAGAAGATGCAGAAGATGGGCCACCAGAGTTGTTGGTATGTTACAAGCATTGAGCAGTATTGAAACAGTCTATAATGTCCTTTATCTGCATTTCATATCTTTGTTTCCTCCCTCTTTCAGTTTATTCATGGTGGTCACACTGCCAAGATATCTGATTTCTCCTGGAATCCCAACGAACCTTGGGTGATTTGTTCTGTATCAGAAGACAATATCATGCAAGTGTGGCAGATGGTAAGTGTTTGGTCTTTTGTTTAGGAGAGGTTAGATAAATGAGACGGGATCATTTTATGTTTGTATATTTCATGAATACAGAATACAACTGTCATCTCTGTTCACTTTGCTGTCAGGTGTGACTTTAGTGCTTCTCCGCACATCATCGTTTTCAACTGCTTGGCTCTTTACCTTTATCTGGTTGTCTGACTGGTATTTAAAACTCAGCTAAACAAAACTAACCTTCTCTTTCTCACTTCTCCTTTCTCAAACCCTTTTCCTCCTCCCGACTTTCCTTTTTCTCTATGGCTCTAGTGAGCTAGCGTTTGCCCAGGTAGCCATACTTGAAAATTCAAGAGTTCCCATGTCTGTTCACCTCTAGGTCTAGATGACTTACCAGATTTTATATCATCTGTCTGTCTGATGTTTCTCACATCTTTCCTCATCTTACAGATGTAAACATACATACCCAAAGGAGGTATAGTGTATCACAGCATCAGATATGACCATTTCAGCGCACGCCTATAGTCCCAGTTACTCGGGAAGCTGAGGCAGGAGGATTGCTTGAGTGTAGGGGTTTGAGCTTGCAGTGAGCTATGATGACACCACGGTACTCAAGCCCAGGCAACTGAGTGAGACCTTGTCACCAAAAAAAAAAAAAAAGAAAAGAAAGGAAAATACTACCATTTCTCCATGAAACCTATCTAGATTTCAAAAACATTGGTTACCTCTATCCTAGTTTAAGGTGATAGCCCTTCTTTGAATATTCAGAGCACTTAGAATAAAAATAACTGATGTCTAATGTATACTAATACAAAGAACAGTTGCATTCTGGAGCTGGACGGTTATGGTCACATAGCAAATGTGAGTGTACTTAATACCCTGAACTGCACATATAAAATGGCTGGGATGAGGCCAGGTGTGGTGGCTCACGCCTGTAATCCTAGCACTGTGGGAGGCCAAGGTGGGTGGATCATTTGAGCTCAGGAGTTCGAGACCAGCCTACGCAAGAGTGAGACCTCTTCTCCACTAAAAATAGAAAGAAATCAGCTGGACAACTAAAAATCATGGTGGCGCATGCCTGTAGTCCCAGCTACTCGGGAGGCTGAGGCAGTAGGATCACTTGAGCCCAGGAGTTTGAGGTTGCTGTGAGCTAGGCTGACGCCACGGCACTCACTCTAGCCCGGGCAACAAAATGAGACTCTGTCTCAAAAAAAGAAAAAAAGACAAGACTGTCCCATCCTGTGCAGCAGATAGTGTAGTGATTTGTGCACAGTAGGTGCTAAGAACAGTGCATTTTCCTCCAGTGGAAAATGGTTTCTCTATTTAAGATTATGCCTTTTGACGTAGATAATCCATCAAGTAGTAGAAATAGGGTTTATTTTATACAAGAGCAGGTTTTTGTTGTTTTTTAGAGATAGGGTCTCACTCTGTCACCTAAATGGGAATGCACTGGCACGATCCTGGCTCACTGCAGCGTGGAACTCCTGCGCTCAAGTGATCCTCTAACCTTGGCTTCCCAGAGCGTTGGAGTTACAGGAATGAGCTACTGCCCCCAGCCCAGTTTTTTTAAAGATATTTATAAATTGAGATTTGGAACAAATGGTTTGGGTGGTTTCTAAGTATACAATTCAGTAGTTACAGTATATTCACACATCACACAATCAATTTGAGAGCATTTTCGTCACCCCAAAGAGAAACCCATTAGCCATCAATTCCTATTTTTCTCATAGTCCCCCTAGTCCTAGGCAACCACCAATCTACTTTCTCTATAGATTTGCCTCTTCTGGACATCTTATATAAATAGAATCATACATTATAAGACTAGCTTCCTTTTTATTGCCAAATAATACTCCATTGTATGGATATATCCTTTATCCATCAGCTGATAGACATTTGCATTTTTTTACTTCTTAGCTATTATTAATAACATCTGGTTAAACGACTTGAGAATGTTGGTTGTCAAGACAAACGATATCCAAATTTTAATTTTGTGGGAATGTCCTGATCCAGAGGCCTGTGGACCAGCTGCCTGTTTTCATTGAACACAGCCATACTAATTCTTTTTCATGCCCACCACAGCTGGCCACTTTCATCCTACAGTGGCAGAGTTGAATAGGTGAAATAGACTATACGGCCCATAAGCCATAGAGTAAAAATACTTAAAATATCTGGTTCCCTAGCTTGATCTATTGTTGAAACCTTGACTTCAAGAAGTCGCTTTCATGTTTACTAAATACCCCGTTCTCTTTTTCTTGTTTTTGGGCAGGCGGAGAACATTTACAATGATGAAGACCCTGAAGGAAGCGTGGATCCAGAAGGACAAGGGTCCTAGATATGTCTGCATTTCTTGTGATTTTTAGGCTCCCCTTTTTTTCCTCTCAACCCTGAGATTGATTAACACTGGTTTTGAGACACACAGACTTTGTTCAGCTATCCCTCTATAATGGGTACCACCAATAATGCTATTAGCCCAAACAGTGGATGTTTTCTAAATGTTAACTGGGGGACTTGATTCAGCAAAGCCACAGGCTTAAATTTTCTTCAGGAATTTTCTAGTAACAAACCCAGGTCTATAAGTAGCCACAGAAAGGGGAGTATTATGTGTGATTATTTTTCTTCTTATGCTATATCCCCAAGTTTTTCAGACTCATTTAAGTAAAGGCTAGAGTGAGTAAGGAATAGAGCCAAAGGAGGTAGGTGTCTGAGCCACGGTATAAATATTGCAAGGTTTCATTTTTATTCAGGAAATAGGGGAGATTCAAGTCATAGATTCCTACTCTAGAATCTTCACACCTGACTTTCCAGGATACACATTTTCCTATGTAGACCAGTCTCAGTTTCTTCAGTTAAGTCAAAACTACACGTTCCTCTTTCCCCATATATTTTTGCTCGTTAGTGTATTTCTTGAGCTGTTTTCATATTGTTTCTTTCCTTTCTGTGAAATGGTTTTTGTTTTGTTTTTTTAAACTTGGGACCACCAAGTTGTAAAGATGTATGTTTTTACCTGACAGTTACCACAGGTAGACTGTCAAGTTGAGAAGAGTGAATCAATAACTTGTATTTGTTTTTAAAATTAAATTAATCCTTGATAAGAGTTGCTTTTTTTTTAGGAGTTAGTCCTTGACCACTAGTTTGATGCCATCTCCATTTTGGGTGACCTGTTTCACCAGCAGGCCTGTTACTCTCCATGACTAACTGTGTAAGTGCTTAAAATGGAATAAATTGCTTTTCTACATAACCCCATGCTGATGGGTTTTATTTAGTATATAACATCCATCAAACACCAGTCTGGCTTCTTGAAGGAGTTCAAATGACAGTTATTTTCCATGGTCTTTGATTGTGAGAAGCAGAATTAAATATAACAGACCCAGAGCTATAGAAAAGAGCTTTACTCCTTCCCAGGGAAAGTGAAAGACATAAAACACTGAATCAGAGGTGGCATGGATTAGTCTTTGATAAAATAACATGTTTTTGAAGTCTATCCCTAGAGAACTACATGGATTTTTCAAATGTGTCAAAGGCAGTGTGGTAGAGAGAATTTAAGGCAAAATTTAAATTTGGAAAAGGTGCCTGAACCTTTTCTCAGAGAGAGGTTGAATCTCCCCAGTATATTTTTCACTGGGGCCTGTACTTAGAGGTTAGAAATAATAGGCTCTGAAAGCCTTTATCACCAACTGCCATAACCAGATAAAATGACTGATTCTTTCCAAACAGTTTGTGTTTTTGGTTTTTTTTTTTTAACCAAGTAGATCAGTCTGACCCAAAATCATGAGGTAAGATCTTTGGGGCAAATCGGAATAGCCTTAACCATTAGGTTCAAATCTGGATTGGTTCCTTATCTCCAAGTCTAGTTTTAGAGTATAGCGAAAATTATCTTGACACAATTTTAAGAGTAAACTGAGTCAGCATGGCCTTTAAGAAAAAGTAAATTTTGTAAAAGGATTCATTTAAAATCTAACACTCAGGGCACAAAAGAATTCAAATTGTAAACCCATGTAATGAAAACTGGCTGCCTTTTTGACCCCACCTGCCCTCCTCCAAAAATGTTTTTAGTTCGGGTCATGACAAGGCAAGATACATTTTTCATAATACTGCAGGTTGTGTCCATACATTCATCCTTTACTCAGCGTATATGTGAGGACTGCTGCTGGAAGACAGGAGGCTCATTTTTCCTTTCCTCAGTGCATTGAGATCAGTACCAGCAGCATATGACATAGAATCCAGCTAGCGTTGACTGGTGTTCTGCCTCCAGCCAACTCCAGAATCTGTTTAAGCGAGTCAGCCAGTATCTGCAGCTTTCACAAGATGAATTGCTTGCCAAGTCTCTGGCACTCCTTTGTCTGGAAGAAAGTATGTCCAAAGGGCACTTAGTGATCCTTTGCTAAGAAGTTTTTTTTTGTTGTTTCTGGGTTACAGATTTGGCCATATATTTCTAAACAGCCCCTGTAAGGTTGAGAAAAAAAAGAATAAGTTTATACTTTCTGCAACTTGAAATAAGACAGTAGAAGGTTTATAACAATGAACTTCTGAGGTTTAGTTAGTGCAGGCAATGTTGAGGAGAGATTGCTACAGTGTGATTTGTATATGATCAGGGATGACTTTTCCCCAGCAAGTATTTTGGTGCCTCCTATTTGCAAAACAGTACGAATGATAACCTATGTGATAGTGTGGAGAGGGGATGGCTAAAATATTTCTCATTGTCTTTTCCCTATTGAACATTTAATCTGATCCACACAAAGAATTTAGCAGATCACTGTCCTCAGTCACAAGGTTATAGTAATCTCTCAAACATTAAACATAGTCAGTTATACTTAGATAAAGTAAAAGAAAATCCTAGAAAGTTAAGAAGAGTGTCAGTTAAAATAGTTATTTGTGAGTTTGTATCCAAGATTTAAGTTTAGGAAATGAAGACTAAAATTTATGGGCATCTATATAATATACAACTTGACACATCCTTTCTTTTATCCTTAGTTTCTTTAAGGGAATGATATAAGGAACTTTATAAAATATATGAGAACATGTTGGTAAAACATTGGAAAAGGGATCCTGAAGAGTTCATTGCTCAGAAAGATGCCTTAAGTTTTCCTAGGCGCTAAAAGTAAGTCTGTGAAATAGGAACAGCTTCCTCGTTTCTACCCAGAACCACAGCCTTTGAATATTTCATAAGGAAACTAACGGATAGATGTGTTGATTGTGACTTGTCACTAGACACACACTGAAGTTTTTTTTTTTAAAGGCATTAATTAGTATTAAGTTAGGAAAGCAGTGATGATGCAAGCACCACTCTCCCACAAAGATCACCTTGAGACTGTGTCTCGGTTCCACCTGCCTGAGGAGTGGGAACATCAGCCTGTTCCAGGCTCTTGGGTAGCATAGCCCTTTAAAAAAAGACAGCCATTTTCCATCTGCTCATGGATGAGCACAAGTTGAAAATAATTTCCCCAATCTTTTTTTTTTTTTTCACTGTTTAAGTGAAATTTTCTCTGAGCCCTCCCCACCATCATCTCAGCCAGTGTTAGATGAGATTTGGGTAGGGGCAAAAACTGACTTATAAGTTGAGAGCTCTTCAGCAAGACTGATCCTTAGCTGCTCCATCTCTTTATTCTTCTGTTGCTGGAGTTGCACTCCACTTCTTAACTGCCTCTTTCGTTCTTCCATTTCCTCCAGCTGTTCCTGCATGAGATGGGCAAGAACATTTCTAATGAGCCAAACAATAAAAGTCTGACATTGTCCGTTATAGTTTCTAAAGCACTTTTTTGTACATTGTTTAATCTTCATAACAGTATCGAGGCTAGTGAATATCTTTATATCATAGGTTAGGAAACTGATACTAAAAGGTTATATCTTGGATAAAAAAGTGACAATGCTTTTGAAAATGGTGACCTGAAAGGAGTCTTGTCTGTTAACCATGCTTCCTTAATAGAATCCTGGGAGGGTGAATGTGTACTCAGAGGGATGTGTTAGTTTTACAGTCTTAACTTAGTGCTGTTGGGGAGGATTTTGGTCCTTCATTGGTGACCTGAGAATTTCATACACTTCTGCTTCCTTATGCATGTTTGTTTCCACCAAGAGAATGGTAGTTTTTAGAATACAGTACTAACAAGTTAAACAATTTAAATTGAAAGAAACCAAGTCTTTATGGAAGCAATTATTCTTAAATATTGGCTAGAATTCTAGAAGAGTTGTACAACTAACAGAAGTCCATGCTTAGAAGATAATTAGGTTGTTAGTTTGCAGGAAAAGTTTTTGTTTTTTGTTTTTTGAGACATAGTCTCACTGTGTCCCCGGGCTAGAGTGAGTGCCGTGGCGTCAGCCTAGCTCACAGCAACCTCAAACTCCTGGGCTCAAGCGATCCTTCTGCCTCAGCCTCCCGAGTGGCTGGGACTACAGGCATGCGCCACCATGCCCGGCTAATTTTTTCTATGTATTTTTAGTTGTCCAATTAATTTCTTTGTATTTTTAGTAGAGA